AGGGGGAGGAGGCCAAGGGAAACCATTTGTAGAGCTGCTCGGTGTGTCATGGTATATCCCCGTGGTAAATGATTGTATATAGAGAAGTAATCTTTCGCGGTACTTTACATCAGCAACCACACTTATGCTTAGAATGTTTTATTTTGATGCGTTAGTGTATTCTACAGACTTAAAGAATGTAATCTACCCGTTGTGTTTACGAACTGTGCTTGGTTAACGATAGATTCCGCTTCTGTATGGTCTCCGCGATGCAGAACGGTGATTCAAGTGGGAGGAGGGTGGTAAGGAGGACTGTAAGTGACGAAGAAATTACAGAAGTTTGGACATGATTCCAACGGGAACTGAGGGGTTAAAATGGTGAGGGGGTGAGGGATGTGAGGGACGTTAGAAGGCAAGGGGTTACTAAGGAGTGTGTGCGTGGACCCTGAGCACGTTCCGTGAGAATTAACACTAATCATTGCCGCCCCCGCCCCGTGACCTAGATCCCCTCACCAACACACACACTCGCCACGACCAATATTTACACGTTAAACTGGTATTCGATTATTCTAAAGCGGCAGTTTAGCCTTTGTAAGAGTCGCGTTATGGTTAATATATCTTGGCTGTAAATGTTTACTCTTTATATAGCGTCACAAGTCAGGTAGTGCAGAATAAAACTATACAAGAAGACGTTGATAGAGCTGGGCGCGTCTCACTAATGTTTGGATCAATAAGAAAGTCTCCCGTGTTTAGTACTGAATTCTGGCGAAGTCTACACGACAGTCTTATAATAATGTTTGCAATATTAAGGATTTTATCTATCATAGGTAACATTACTTCATGTGTGACGAAGATCTTCGGAGAGGGATCGACGGTGACCCATAACTGAGGTGATAAAGTGATCAGTATGCAAAGGCAATTTCCCATCTATTGTTGACATCGCCATCCGGAAGTAGTCTAGTCATATTCGAATGTTTACAAAGCAGAATATAATTCTTAATCTTATTTCACTGTAAAGTGTCATCCGGAGCGCCCAACAAAACTGCCATGAGTACAAGTTGCTCTCAAGAAAGCACTAAATTCGTTGCACTGTGAGTCACTCGGGGATTCTCCTGATTCTGACCACATATTGAGAATTTTGTCAATATTCTATTCAGATAAGTTTATGTCATGCTTGAACACTTTATTATTTTTATATTATGGTAACAAAGTGTATGAAGATTAGAGTGCTGGACTTTAAGTATAGGAGGTGAGCCTAGAATTCAAAGGATGATAGATGATGTTACTTAGTTCACGTATGTGGTTAATGATTTCGGTGTTTAGATGGATCTATTCATTTTAAATATACGCTCGAGTGTACAGTATGCTTGCATATAACATAAGATGAAAAATACACGTAAAATACATTCACAACATCTTTACGAAGTCGATATCAAAGAAGTACAATTAATGTTGTGGTTTTCAGGACGTTAATGTTCTTTACTTCGTGCATGTGAGATACCAACACTGATTGTTGACATTAGCAGACCACTGACTTCCTTTGTTATTAAGTCTTCAGTCTAAGATGGCGGGATAGGTGTAACACAAGTCGCCCTTTGGTATACTCGCACGACGCCTAATGCCTGCCTGACACTATAAGCTTCACTTGGCGTTACTCTACTCGCAGGTTTGTAGCTAAATTGAATAGTAGTGGATACAGATATCTAGCAGCACGACTACAAAACTCAAGGAAGCCGCAATCGATCAGCCGTGTAGAGATGCTGGGCTGAAAAGCGTGTTTAAACTAAAGCCCCCTGAGAGAATCATGTGTTTTCAGTAGTGTTAAAGAGCCCGTGTGACACATTCTCATCCTTGATCTGGCTAACAGTCTAACTATCGCTGTGTCAGTATGCTACGAGGAGGAGCACACACACACACACACACACACACACACACACACACACAACCAAGACCGTCACTCGTATAATTCCCGTAGGCAACAAACCCAAACCACGCCCTCATATCAATCATTACCTTTACACTTTAGCCTAAACAATACATCCCCGCCTGCAACTCTCCCTCCCTTCCCCACACGAACACCGAGTCAGACCTACCAATTATCTTCATCACTGATTGGTATTCCAGTTAACTTTTATCTCTTTAACAAAGGTGCGTCACGACCCCAGTCAGACTTGCATTAGTCTTATTGTTGGTTCGTAGGCGTGTCACTGGGTTATTTCAAGGCGATATTTCAAATAAGCTGTTTGCTCTTCGTGTGTGTGTGGTTTGTGTGTGTGTGCGCGCGCGCGCGCGTGTGTGTGTGTGTGTGTGTGTGTGTGTGTGTGTGTGTGTGTGTGTGTGTGTGTGTGCGTGTGTGCGTGTGTGTGTGTGTGTGTATCAAAGTGATTTTCCTCTGTCACTCTTCATCAGAGGCGGGTGGAGGTGTGGTGGAATGAAGCGACAAGTTAGTGGATCAAAACACAACCTTCTCTCGTGCCTCTAGTGCCACCACAATCATCAGAGGCATCATTTAAGTTCCAAACTCGGTGCCAAGTACAATACTCCTTCCTAGTTTCACCATGAAGTACAGTTCTCACTAGTGCCACGCCAGATGCCATATGCCTATAGATCGACCGACCCGTTGACTGACTGAAAGAATCTCAAGAATCAATCGCCACTCTAAACTATTCCTTAAGTCGAGCAAACTTTAAGGTCATTTCTAATCCACCAACCAGAGCTTTGTCACCTGTCAAAGTCCTCTTATTTCTGACTCAAATATCAAAGTAAATATGTCCAGGATACGAAATGAAGGACCTGATAAAATAAATAAAGTATAGATAAATAGATGAATAAATAGATAACTGAATAAATCTGGAGGAGGAAGACGTATATACGCTTGTCCTCCAGGCTGTGAGGCGAATGATCGTAGTCTTCGCGTTGGGCTAAAAATCACCTGACGCGGAGATTTACTTTAGTAACGTAATTTTATCGATTAGTCAAGGCGAGCTAATTATCATACTGCGTCTTGTTATTATATTTTCAAACAGTACCTGTGTCTCCCCGACAGCTCCTACCACACAGAGTTTTGGAGAACTTTGGATAATATGCATCACATTCACATACAACTGCTGTAGGTGCACCACGAACAGAACTACAGTACTACACAATCCTAAAGTAGTTTTGCTTAGGTTAGGTTAGACTGGTGCGTGTCATCAACTTTCAATTAAATACACGAAAATCTTAAACGGTTTAGCTGTCCTGTTCGTGGTCCATTTACAACACAGTACATATTGCAGGTAACAGTAAAACACATAAACAACAAAAAATAACAAATATCCAGTAAAGTTCACACCTCTTTAAGAACTACACTGTACTTCCAAACATGCAAGCACAAGCCCCAGAACACTGAGTGGCTGAGAAAGACATATTGAATGTCTCTATAGCTGTAAACTACCAGGCAAAGAGCCGGGAAGGTTAATGTAGGAGTGAACAGGTAGAACACACAGTAAAAGTTAAATATATATGACATGCAAGGACACGCCCATGAACAATAAATAGCTGAGATGACATGCATTAGCCATAGCCATAAATTATAGGATATTCAGTCTTGAGTAAACCTAGTAGTGTATGAAACAAGCTTTGTGAGGTCCTGGTGACGGCTGTAATATTCTGGTGAAGGTGACGAAGATGTGAACGGTATGGTGATAGTCGTAAGGATGGTGAGAGTAGTGAGGATGGTGATATAATAGTAAGAGTGTGTCGAAAACATAACACACGGATGAAGCAGTTGTAACCGAGGTGACAGTATGGTTATGACAGTGACATAACCATGGCAACCGTGACAAGCTGGTGAGGACGGCCACCCACCGGAAAATAACTATCAGATCTAAGAGACAAGTGTACGGGTCAACATTCTGAGATGAGACAAAGCAGGTCAGAGGCACTTAGGCATATAAGGTCAAGCTCACAGGCAACAAGATCTTGATACCGGATATCCTCGCGTTATGCAAAGTACTTAAAGGCCCTTTTGATAGAAGGAAATGCATCAATACACTCAATCATGTACTTTAAAAGGGTCTCGAAGGGATAATAGTGCTCTCCCCCCCCCCCCCGTCCTCCCCACACTCCACCGCAACATCGCCAGCACGAGCAAACAACACCGCCAGACGTACATTCTCTGTCACTGGCGATGCTTTGCAATAGAAGGCATGAGGTGTCCAGCAGACCCCTAGTCTACATGCAGCACTGTCACCAGCTGAGGTGTGCGTGAGGCTCACTGTCAAGGTGCAGACACAGGTGATGGAACAGGGAGGGGAGGGGAGCTGGGAAGAAGGGGGAAAGGGGAAGGGGGAAAGGGCGGGAGAGAGGTGTGGTGGAAGAAGAGGAAAAGGGAGAGAGAAAGGGGTAGTGGGGGGAAGGAGGAAGAGAGGGATAGATTGTAAGGGATAGAAAGGGAAAAGAGTAGAGAAAAAGAAGTGTGCTGTGGTAGAGAAGGAGGGACGAGGGATAGGGAGGTAGAGGAGGAGGGGAAGGAGAACGTCATAGGATGAGAGCGTGAAGGGAAGTGAGGAGAGACGGGAAAAGGGGGATGGGAGGAAAGGGATAGGAAAATAATAAGTTGGGAGATTAGAAGGGAAAAGAGAGATTTAGGAACTACAAAAGAAAGAAAAATAGAAACAGAGGAATAAAGGGCTGGACGTCAAGGAGAGAACTGGCCGGGAGAAGAACACAAAACAATGACTTAAAAATAACAGGGATGAATGACGGGACTGCAGGAGAGCGAAGAATGGAGCGATAAAAAAAGAAGAAAGGGGAAGGGAGGAGGAGAATAACGTAGAAGGCGCAGCACCAAACAAGAGTAAGGTGGAGGTGCGGCATTAATGAAGACTGCGGCAAAAATAGAAAGGTGCGGCACAGAGGTTTCGGTAGCAAATAATAGCAGCTAGAAAATGTATGGTGCTAGGTGTGAGGTCATGGGCACAGCACTAGACATGGGCACAGCACCAAGCGAGGTACAACAGGAGGTATAAGCAGCGCCTTACTGTCCTCGTCGTCCTCCCCAGCAGCTTCCAGGTCCTCCTCTCCTGAAGGGGCTGAACGAGGCGCAGAGAGATAGCGTTTAGGGTGGTGACTAGTCAAATAGGCCCCAGTCCTATTAGGCCTCAATTCCATATTTTAGGTTATGTTAGGTTGAGGCATATTAGGACTAGGGTCTGCTAGGACTGGGACCTATTTGACATGCAACTGTTAGGAACACCAGGTTTGGGAAGTACAGTACCTTAGTGACCCCAGGTGGGAAGCATTTGCTTAGTACTAGAATATAAACTGGGTTAAACTTGGGTACTGAAGAACACTACACACTCTAAATGCTGGCACGAAAGCCGCCACTCTTAGATTATAAACAAAATATTTGACTTACTTTCATCACTTTTGATAACTTAACTCTAACAGATCTATAAAACACAATCGTGTACACAGAAGTCCACAAGGTAAAAAATGACCAAAGCTGAAAGAAAAACAAAGATTAAGGATGCCAAGAGAAGGGAAGTACTCACGTCTGGCCACCCGGGCGTAGTACCATCGGTGAGGAGCATAGAGGAGGCGGTCAGCGCTAGATGAGCGTTGGATGACTCCATGGTGCCACTTCTTCTTATCCAGCCTCGACTCTTGGTAGACCAAATTGTTGTCACTAACGCTGCGGGTCAGCTTCCGTGGTGATCCCAGATCAGAGCTGCATACACAAACACACACACACACACGGGCGCACACACACACACACACACGACGGGGTTAATAAAAGGTAATGAAGGTAATATACAGACTTTGGTAAATACGCATGCAATATCTTCCCATTATACGTAGAGGAGACAAAATAAGTCAATATTCTTGATTTTTATATCAAACTGTTTATTTCAACCTCCTGGAATACCTGATTTACCAAGTTCAACTAAAAACGTTCCACCACTGTCACCGCAACACACCACTGATATAACTTTCACATCTTTACAACACTAGTGCCATATCACACCAGTAACGTCACTTTAACCGCAATACTTATCACCATAGCTAACCACTAACACCAGTATCACCCCCAACATAACACTATCAACACAACACATCACTAACACCAGTATCACCCCCAACATAACACTATCAACACAACACATCACTAACACCAGTATCACCCCCAACATAACACTATCAACACAACACATCACTAACATCACAATGGTAACACCTGTACTGAACAAACGACTAACAAAAACAAACATCCACTTTATCAAACTCACCACAAACATTACCTATCAATCATACAATAAGATACAGTATACAGTATCTACCACACCAAACTTCAACAACACAAGAAAACAGTCAACAACATTACAGAATGAGAAACAATGTTTTTCCCAACACACATCACCGCCTTCCTCACAACAGACACCAGCCAATGCGTAAATAACTCCAACTAACATGATAAACCTCGTAAAAAAAATGCCGTCTCCAACATCCAACACATTGTATCACATTAAACAACATCCAACACATTACTTACGGCAAGCAGTAAGAAACATACCGTAAACACTGCAACATCCAATACGTTATAACATTTAATAATAAACAACATCCAACACGCCATAATACAGTACTGTCACAATCATCTGATACACTCCTACGCCTTAAATATGACAACACGTAACTAGTCATTCGAATCACATCACGACATCACTAACATCATCTAGAATGTGACGGACGTAAGTATATCATTAAACACCCAAAACTGCAATCACACACACACACACACAACAGCGACCAAGTAAGGAAATGACAAGCACCCACCACTGCACACAACTATCAGCATAAACCGTAGTAATAATCACAGGCGTCCACCATAACACACTATTACCAGCGACCAACACAACACACCACTACCACCACAACACACCACTACTACCAGCGTCCACCACAACTCACTGCTACTAGAGACCATCACAACACAACACTATCGTCTGCCACAATACACTAATAACATTGTCCACGGCACATTACCACTAGAGTTCACAGCAAATGATAACATCGCTCACTACAGCCTAACAGTATCGCGGTCCTCCACATCACAGCACCACTGGCATCCATCACTAACAGTTCAACAACACATTACTACAATCGTTCACCACAGTGCAAGTATACTAGTATTCCAGCGTCCGCCACATACGCAAGTGCCACAATATATACCACTGCCGGAGCCAGGTATGGGGAGCACCTTACCTGCCTCGCGCGTAACGTTGTCTGAAGCTGAAGAAGTCCTCGTGGTCGGCAGCACCCCACCTCCTCATGTCACTGCTCCTCCTCCCCTCCTCCTCCTCACGCCTAACCCCGCCCACCTTACTCTTCACATCACTTCGTTCAGTTCCTCGGTCTTTACGTCGTCCTTCGTTTTGCCCAACTCTTCTTCCTCCTGTTTGGGTGTCCTTTAGTCTACCTGTGTTTCCGTCTCTTCGTCCGCCAGTTTCTTCATAATATAATTCATTTGTGTCATCAAAACTTCGTTCAACTATTTTTTTGGAACCTCTTTTGCCTGGTTGTTCATCACTGTGACTTTCTACACGACTAACTCTTGGGTGAGTATCATTTCCTTCTGCTGTTCGAAAAGCACTTTGTTTTCCTGTTCGACCATCGCCCTGTTCTCTTGTTCGGCCATTGCTTAAATCTCCTGGTCGACCAGTACTTCCGTCTCTTATTCGACCATTACTTTGTTCTCCTGTTCGACCATTGCTTCTGTCTCTTATTCGACTCGTACCTTGTTCTCCTGTTCGACCATTGCTTCTGTCTCTTATTCGACTCTTACCTTGTTCTCCTGTTCGACCATTGCTTCTGTCTCTTATTCGACTCTTACCTTGTTCTCCTGTTCGACCATTGCTTCTTTCCTCTGTTCGAACATTGCTTTGATCTCTTATTCGAACCTTATTTCCTTCTCTTGTTCGACCTTCTTTTTGACCCACCTCTCGACCATCATTTCGTCCTCCTGTTGGGCGATCATTTCTACCTCCTGTTGGGCCATCATTTCGTCCTCCTGTTAAAACATCATTTCGTCCCTCTGTTGGACCATCATTTCGTCCCCCTGTTGAGCCATCACTTCGTCCATCTCTTGGGCCATCGTATCGTCCTCCTGTTGTGCCATCATTTCCTCCTCCTGTTGGGCCATCTCCTGTTGTGCCATCATTTCCTCCACCTGTTGGTTCATCATTTCGTCCACCTGCTTTGTCATAATTATTCTCAGTTATGTCTTCATCTCTTTCCTCATAACTCACTGTGGCTGTATGATCAGCATTCTGATCCTTTGCTCGAACACTGTACCGATCTCCTGTTCGATCATTGCTTCGATCACCTGTTCGGCCATTGCTTTGATCACCTGTTTGACCATTGCTTTGATCTCCTATTCGACCATTGCTTTGATCTCCTATTCGACCATTGCTTTGATCACCTGTTCGACCATTGCTTCGATCACCTGTTCGACCATTGCTTTGATCACCTGTTCGACCATTGCTTCGATCACCTGTTCGACCATTGCTTCGATCACCTGTTCGACCATTGCTTCGATCACCTGTTCGACCATTGCTTTGATCACGTGTTCGACCATTGCTTTGATCACCTGTTCGACCATTGCTTTGATCACCTGTTCGACCATTGCTTTGATCACCTGTTTGACCATTGCTTTGATCACGTGTTCGACCATTGCTTTGATCACCTGTTCGACCATTGCTTCGATCACCTGTTCGGCCATTGCTTCGACCTTCTTTTGAACACTTTGATCACCTTTGATCACCTTTGAACATGACCCTGTTTGACCACCTGTTTGCTTCGATCACCTGTTCGGCCATTGCTTTGATCACCTGTTTGAACCATTGCTTCGATCACCTGTTGACCATTGCGATCACCTGTTCGACCATTGACCTTTGATCACCTGTTTCGAACATTGCTTCGATCACCTGTTCGACCATTGCTTCGATCACCTGTTCGGCCATTGCTTCGATCACCTGTTTGACCATTGCTTCGATCACCTGTTTGACCATTGCTTTGATCACGTGTTCGACCATTGCTTCGATCACCTGTTCGACCTTTGCTTCGATCACCTGTTTGACCATTGCTTCGATCACCTGTTTGATTGCCATTCACCTTGATCACCTGTTCGACCATTCCATTCGATTCGATCTGTTTGACCACCATTGCTGCTTCGATCACCTGTTCGACCATTGCTTCGATCACCTGTTCGACCATTGCTTCGATCACCTGTTCGACCATTGCTTTGATCACGATCACCTGTTTGACCATTGCTTCGATCACCTGTTTGACCATTGCTTCGATCACCTGCTTGACCATTGCTTCGATCACCTGTTTGACCATTGCTTTGATCACGTGTTCGACCATTGCTTCGATCACCTGTTTGACCATTGCTTTGATCTCCTATTCGACCATTGCTTTGATCACCTATTTGACCATTGCTTCGATCACCTGTTTGACCATTGCTTTGATCACCTGTTTGAACACTGCTTCGATCACCTGTTTGACCATTGCTTCGATCACCTGTTCGGCCATTGCTTTGATCACCTGTTTGAACACTGCTTCGATCACCTGTTTGACCATTGCTTCGATCACCTGTTCGGCCATTGCTTCGATCACCTGTTTGAACCATTGCTTCGATCACCTGTTTGATCACCTGCTTGACCATTGCTTCGATCACCTGTTTGACCATTGCTTCGATCAATTGCTCGACCATTGCTTTGATCTCCTGTTCGATCATTGCTTTGATCACCTGTTGACCATTGCTTCGATCACCTGTTTGACCATTGCTTCGATCACCTGTTTGAACACTGCTTCCGATCACCTGTTTGACCATTGCTTCGATCACCTGTTTGACCATTGCTTCGATCACCTGTTTGAACACTGCTTCGATCACCTGTTTGACCATTGCTTCGATCACCTGTTTGACCATTGCTTCGATCACCTGTTTGAACACTGCTTCGATCACCTGTTTGACCATTGCTTTGATCACCTGTTTGAACATTGCTTTGATCACCTGTTTGAACACTGCTTCGATCACCTGTTTGACCATTGCTTTGATCACCTGTTTGAACACTGCTTCGATCACCTGTTTGACCATTGCTTTGATCACCTGTTTGAACATAATTTTGGTCTCTGGTATCACCATCTCTTGGACGTCTTCCTTGGACGTCATTCTTGTCTCCTATTTGACTATACCTTTGATCTCCTGTTTGATCATACCTTTGATCTCCTGTTTGATCATACATTTGATCTCCTGTTTGTTCATACCTTTGATCTCCTGTTTGATCATACATTTGATCTCCTGTTTGTTCATACCTTTGATCTCCTGTTTGATCATACCTTTGATCTCCTTTTTGATCATACCTTTGAGCTTCTGATTGATCATACCTTTGATCTCCTGTTTGATCATATCTTTGATCTCCTGTTTGATCATTCATTTGATCTCCTGTTTGATCATAACTTTGGTCTCCTGTTTGATCATATCTTTGATCTCCTGTTTGATCATTCATTTGATCTCCTGTTTGATCATAACTTTGGTCTCCTGTTTGATCATATCTTTGATCTCCTGTTTGATCATTCATTTGATCTCCTGTTTGATCATACCTTTGATCTCCTGTTTGATCATACCTTTGATCTCCTGTTTGATCATTCATTTGATCTCCTGTTTGATCATTCATTTGATCTCCTGTTTGATCATTCATTTGATCTCCCGTTTGATCATACCTTTGAGCTTCTGATTTACCATTACTCTGATCAGCTGTTCGACCACCACTTTGATCAGCTGTTCGACCACCACTTTGATCAGCTGTTCGACCACCACTTTGATCAGCTGTTCGACCACCACTTTGATCTCCTGTCCGACCACCTTTTTGATCAGCTGTTCGACCACCTTTTTGATCAGCTGTTCGTCCACCACTTTGATCTCCTGTCCGACCACCTTTTTGACCAGCTGTTCGACCACCTTTTTGACCAGCTGTCCGTCCATCTTTTTGATCAGCTGTTCGACCACCACTTTGATCGCCTGTTCGACCATCTTTTTGATCAGCTGTTCGACCACCACTTTGATCTCCTGTTCGACCACCTTTTTGATCAGCTGTTCCATCACCTTTTTGACCAGCTGTCCGTCCATCTTTTTGATCAGCTGTTCGACGACCACTTTGATCTCCTGTTCGACCACCTTTTTGATCAGCTGTTCCATCACCTTTTTGACCAGCTGTCCGTCCATCTTTTTGATCAGCTGTTCGATCACCACTTTCATCTCCTGTTCGACCATCTTTTTGATCAGCTGTTCGACCACCACTTTGATATCCTGTTCGACCATCTTTTTGATCAGCTACCCGTCCAACTTTTTGATCACCTGTTCGACCATCTTTTTGATCAGCTGCCCGTCCAACTTTTTGTTCACCTGTTCGACCATCTTTTTGATCAGCTGTTCGAACACCACTTTGATCTCCTCTCCGAACGCCTTTTTGATCAGGTCTTCGACCACCACTTTGATCTCCAGTCCGAACACCTTTTTGATCAGCTGTTCGACCACCACTTTGATCAGCTGTTCGACCACCACTTTGATCAGCTGTTCGACCACCTTTTTGATCAGCTGTTCCATCACCTTTTTGACCAGCTGTCCGTCCATCTTTTTGATCAGCTATTCGACCACCACTTTGACCTCCCATTTGACTATTGATTTCTTCGCCCCTTACTTCATTTCGTTCACTGTCTTGTGGTCCATCTTGTTCATCACTTAGTCTTTGTGCGTCGTCAAGATTTCGTGCACCAACTTGGTCGACAATTCGTCCCTCATATCCTCCCTCATATTCTCCTTTATATTCTCCCTCATTATAGCTTCTTGCTCGTTCATCGTCTGCTTCTCCAGGTTGCCCTTTGCTTTCTATTTCTTCATATCTGTGCTGATCTATATCTTCATATCTTTGTTCTTCTGTTTCCTCATAATTTTGATTTTCTGTTTCAGTTCGATCATCTGTTTTAACATTCCTTTGATCACCTGTTTCCTCATATCTTTGTTCTTCTATGTCTTCATTGCTTTGATAATTTGCTCGACCATTATTTCGATCTCCTCCTGTTCGAACATTGCTTTGATGATCTCCTGTTCGAACATTGCTTTGATGATCTCCTGTTCGACCATTGCTCTGATCTCTTGTTTGAACATTGTTTCGATCTCCCGTTTGACCATTGATTCGATCTCCCGTTTGACCATTGACTCGATCTTCTGTTTGACCATTGCTTCGATCTCCCGTTTGACCATTGCTTCGATCTCCTGTTTGACAATTGCTTCGATCTCCTGTTTGACCATTGCTTCGATCTCCAGTTTGACCATTGCTTCGATCTCCCGTTTGACCATTGATTCGATCTCCTGTTTGACCATTGATTCGATCTCCTGTTTGTCCATTGCTTCGATCTCCCGTTTGACCAATGATTCGATCTCCTGTTTGACCATTGTTTCGATCTCCCGTTTGACCATTGATTCGATCTCCCGTTTGACCATTGATTCGATCTCCTGTTTGTCCATTGCTTCGATCTCCTGTTTGACCATTGCTTCGATCTCCTGTTTGACCATTGCTTCGATCACCTGTTCGACCATTGCTTCGATCTCCCGTTTGACCATTGATTCGATCTCCTGTTTGACCTGTTTGACCATTGAGATTCGATCTCTGTTTGACCATTGCTTCGATCTTCTGTTTGATTCGATCTCCGTTTGACCATTGATTCGATCTCCTGTTTGACCATTGACTCGATCTCCTGTTTGACCATTGATTCGATCTCCTGTTTGTCCATTGCTTCGATCTCCTGTTTGACCATTGCTTCGATCTCCCGTTTGAGCATTGATTCGATCTCCTGTTTGACCATTGCTTCGATCTCCCGTTTGACCATTGATTCGATCTCCTGTTTGACCATTGATTCGATCTCCTGTTTGTCCATTGCTTCGATCTCCTGTTTGACCATTGCTTCGATCTCCCGTTTGACCATTGATTCGATCTCCTGTTTGACCATTGATTCGATCTCCTGTTTGTCCATTGCTTCGATCTCCCGTTTGACCAATGATTCGATCTCCTGTTTGAACATTGCTTCGATCTCCCGTTTGACCATTGATTCGATCTCCCGTTTGACCATTGATTCGATCTCCTGTTTGACCATTGATTCGATCTCCTGTTTGTCCATTGCTTCGATCTCCCGTTTGTCCATTGATTCGATCTCCTGTTTGACCATTGCTTCGATCTCCCGTTTGACCATTGATTCGATCTCCTGTTTGACCATTGATTCGATCTCCTGTTTGACCATTGATTCGATCTCCTGTTTGACCATTGCATCGATCTCCCGTTTGACCATTGATTCGATCTCCCGTTTGACCATTGCTTCGATCTCCTGTTTGACCATTGATTTCTTCGCCTATATGTTCATGTTCTCGTCCACTAACGCGTGGTTGAGCCTGGTCATCGATTAGTCGTCTCGTGTACCTAATATTTCCTGTACCAACTTGGTCGAAAATTCGTCCTTCAATTTGTCCCTCACTCAGCCTTCTTCCTAGTCTACCAGCTGCCTCATCAAGTTGTTCATTTCGTTCTTCGGCTTGCCCCTCACTCAGCCTTCTATCTAGTCTATTACGTTGCTCAGTTCTTCCATCAATATTTCCAGTGCTGCTATCAGCGTCTTGACCATTGCCCCGTCCTCGACTCTCTTCTGATCGTCCTTGACTCTCTCTTGCTCGTCCTTGAGTCTCTCCTGCCTTTTTGCGAATCTCACCTGCTCCTGTTTTTCCTTCGTCGTCCCTTCCCTTGTTTCCGTCTCCTTTTCGTTCTCTTCCTCGATCGTCATCCCTTCCGTCTCCCAATTCTCTTTTACCGACACTCCGTCCTTCGCCTGTCTTTCCCCTGCTCCTTCCTTTGTTCCTTGTATGGCTCCGGCCTTGATTGTTACCTTCACTTTGACTGTCGCCACTCCCATCACTCTGTCTCCACTCTCTTACAGTGCTCTTCCCTTTCCTTCGCACAATGGTTTTTCTTCGTGTATTTCCTTTACCGTTGATTTGTCCGTCACTCGTTCCTTCGTCTCGCCCGTCACTCATCCCCCCATCTCTTCCGTCACTTGTACCTCCCTGTTGCTTGATGTTTATGCTTAAGTGACCCCCGATATTTGTTCTTCTGTCTCCTGCGTCACTCTCCCCATCGCCTATTCGGTCTACTTTGCCATCACGACGCTTTAACCCTCTTCCTTGGACTTGGTTATTTCTCTCCTCTCCCTCTTTAGCCTTCTGAAAGGAAACCCATTTCTCCTCTTCCTCGACCAGTGCCTCTGCTCTGGCGTCGCCCCATCTATCTGCCACTTCCACCCATGCCCCATCTTTATATACTACCTTCAAGTCGCCTTGTACACCTGCTACACTCCTTTCTTCACCGGAGGCGTTACCTGTAAAAGAAATAAAATCAGTTCAGATCCTAATGAGTCATTCAGTAAAAAATCTAAAACAACGTACAAGATCGCCAATTCCCCCTGCTGTTTGGATGAGATTCAATGCCCCATTTTTCAAGTTTTCGTGTTAAAAAAATTTGGAAGCTCGGGCGGACAAGTGGAATTCAAATATTACTCATGATTGAAAGTAAATAATGCCTAAGCAATTTTTTTTGTATGTGGATATAATAAAATCCGTCCTAACTTTAATAACAAAAGGTGTTAGAAAATTAAAGATTCATGATTTTTGAACAGGTGTCGGTTACTTCCTCAAGGGATTCGAACCTTCGGGAATGAACCCTACATTCCTGGCTGCGGTTGTCTGCACCAGGTGTATCAGACATTTCAAAATTCTTCTCAAAGTTAAGAAAAAGACATCCTCATAGTGTACGAACTTACGTATCTTAGAACTATTATATTTATAATAATTTCCTTTGCAAATTAATGAGCATGTTACTAAATGGAATATTACTGTATAATTTTGCGTCATCTCAGGTATAATAACTTGACCACGCTAGCCTATAATTTTACGACATGTCATTAAGTGTTATTATATCATCAGACTGTGTTGTATGTATGACACAAAATAATTATGTCGCCACAGTTAACCTAATATATAAGCGTTGTAAACAGTAAAAATATTCGTTATTTTTCTGTGTAATCTGTGCAGGAGGTAAAATTAATTGCGAAAATGTAATTGAAAATTTTATCTACAAAAATTGCTTTATGAAAAACAGAAAAGACGTAACATACTGTGACAGTTATGTTCGGGTGATATTAGCAGATTGGTGACCCCTGGTAGAGACACCTCCCGCGTCCTCTATACTCTCTTACACCGGCTACACCTTCACCAATATTATCCTTATCCTATACACTACACCTTCTCGCTACACCTATAGCAAGAGCAATCAATATTTCTTCTTTAGTTGTGTCAGCGAAGACTGGTAGAAAACTTATCAAGAGGCTCCTGTTGTTTATCTTCTTATACACGCGAGAAAATGACTCCCATTGCATCTCTCTTTTGTGAACCAAACCTTTACTACTCACAGCATAATGGAGAGTCACTGATAGTAGGATGAAGGCAAACGTTCGTCTGGAGTAGCTTTTTTGACTATAATAATTGTGTGATATTGCGGACTGCCTGGCGCTGTTGATTTGTCTTAAGCCTGCTACACACACTCAGACCTTTGCTCAGACAAAACTGAACACGTGTAAGGGAGATTTGCGGACTTTGCAGATCTTTTATAAGGTTTGTGCAAAATTAAACACTTACGGAAAAGATGTCTGCTGAAGAGTGGTCTGTGCAGATAAAATGGGGCGCGTGTTGGCTCGTTCAGACCAGTTGCTAGGTTTTCAGCAGTAGTAGTGGTGTTAACATCATGTGACAATGAGTGATTTTCATAATTATTCCTAATAATTTATAACAGAGTTAAATGAGATCTAACACACAGTGAACGATCTATGGGAAAATTAAAGGATAACAGTGCCACAGTGTTTCATTAAAATATTGTCCGATTATTCTTTAATTTGCCATTTTCTCTTTAATCTCCATTACTATGTATCTGCGATATTCATTAACACTACAGCATTAAGAAGAGACAAGGGTCTTATCTAACATAGCTATAGCTAATTATGTTATTAGGTTTATGAGTCTTGCAAGTATCCCTCAGTCTCCTGCCACACCAGCGGAGACACCATACTGTAAGGTGCCTCTCTCTCTCTTCCCACTTCCCTCACTCATTACCCAGGGTCCACACAGGACTACAAAATCATGTGCATTGTACTGTTGGACACCATTCCTACACTTCGCCTTCATCCTGTTAATCCCATCGCTGTCCTCGACCTAAGAATTTTTATGAGTCCTCCCCGTATGACCTAAATCACACACACCTCTTTGACTTTCGTCGCCCTCTACATTGCGCTCATAACCCTCTTCTTCATAGAGGCGGAAGTTCGCCTGTCTCCTGAGGGCATTGAAGTGGCTGAACCTAGAAGAGTGGCCGTGAGAGTCGGAGAGCTCGGTGTCGGAGACGAGGAGGTTGGAAAGACTGGGAGCGTACCTCAGGAGTTCCTCACTTAATTCAAGCACGTGGATCTCTGGGTCATCGGCGTGAGGCGGCAGGAAACTCTTCACCTTTACTACCTTCTCCTGGTGTGGCTTCACCTACAGTACATGGAAGAAGTGGAAACAATTATTGATAAGGATTACTGGAAGATAACACACTAACTTTATCAAAATAAATTTCACAAATAAACCCTTGATCAAATGAACAATCTATGAGACATTTCTTATACTAAGCGTAGCTATGCAAAAGTTTTACAAACATGTCTGACACAAAGTAGCATTCTTAGTAGATATATTGAATAAAGTGAGTCATTGGACCACTACACAGTGCCTTCAGATAAGTTGACACCTTATACTTGACTCAAATATAATAGACAAACACATAAGGAGGGTCCCTGGTGTCGCGCGCGGCCGCGAGTCATGACACCAAGACGGTCGTGCACCAACTAGCACTTATGGTTGACAACGGTGTTTACATTTTTTTCCTCTGTAATTGCCTCCTCCAGGTTTACTGATGAACCCTATCTGGAATATACTTCACTATCATAAGTCCTGTGCTGAGAATACCTATAAGAACGTTTGGCATCTTACAATAGCATTTTTACCCTTTGCGTGTCAGTTTACTTCCCAAGGCTGAAACAGTTTTTATGTCATGTGAAGTGAACAGGAGAGTCTGGCTTGCTAGCAGGTTGGCACATAAGGTTCTGTGACTCCAATCTATCATCCAATTACGCATTTACGCACTCCCTAGTATCACCTCCGTTAACCGTACCTGCACCATCATCTAAACCTAACCTATATTATATGTGATTTTGTCAATAAACTCATTATGAGTGTAATATAATCCAAAATTATTAAGGAAAAATGGACGCTGTGTATTCGTGTCTCTGCTTGAACTAAGAATAAGTAATCGTGCGTCAGTACCAATCCGCGCTTCGTCGACATATTTTTGCGTCGTTGATTTAGGACCACATTCCCACGCTCTATAATCTACACTACACACTGTACCTGACACTCTATGCTACAAAACAAACTCTGCATCTTATATTCTACACAGACTTTTATTCTAGACTCTATAACCAACACTGGATGCTCTATAATGCTACTCTTCACACTCCATCACACACCCTCGACTTCACCTCGCTGAATAATTTCTCTTACCGCCCAAACTGTAACTATTTTGACCTTCACTACACATAATCTTTTAAAAATCTCACAAGTAGGTTTATTGGATCAATAAATTAGGCAGATAAATATTTTAGGGACCATTTTATTCAAGATTATAGGATCAATTATATAAAAAGACGAAATTGAAGAGTAAGTGAAATATGGATAGTAATGACCGTAGATTTACACACCTCAGCCACAGACTGCATTGTTATCTCTTGTTAATATGAAACCCTGTCTTACCGCTTTTGATACACAAGTTGATTTTTTTTTGTAAATAAAGATATATAAATGTATCTAAGTGTTGGTGTTGTTGTTGTTGTTTTTGTACAGCACATGGAAGCCAAAACGGTGTCGGAATTGCACAAACATACTGAGATGTGACTTTATGGGAAACACTGACACATAAACCATTGAGAATTACGACCCTTGTTGTCTATATACATTTATCTTATAACGATGAACTTAGGAATAATTTTTGTTCTCCATAGTCTGCTTAATATCATATCTTATTTCCAATGGTCATAATTATTTCCTAATCTATTTTAACTTAGCTTAATTTAACCTAATTGTGAGATGTTACGCTATATTCTTTATTTGTGGGTTAAAAAACTTAAGCTTCTCTGACTGTATCAAGTACTCGGAACACTGCATTTATAAGAGATTACATTTTACAAACATTTAGGTGAACATATGAGCAAAATAGCTAACAAAAATATTACTATCACTAGTAATTTATTCCAAAATAAAATCTAAAGTATGAAACTGTTAATTATGTAACATTAAACATCATAAAATAATAACACACCCATGAAAAACGTTAACATTATGTGACTCACTAAGAAAATTTAATATTACATTTCAGAACATGAAATACGCGGAAGGTATAATTAAACAACACATGAGGGTAACTTCAAACTCACTAAGTGGCAACCCGAACAACAATAACAAAGAACACGTGACCGAGGCGTAGCTGGCAATTCTGTACCTGCACGAAGATGATAAACATTACACGACAGTAGAGGGAAGGGCAGTCAGGATACAGTTTGAGTCACCCCTCCCTCCCTCTCCCCCGCCACACACACACACTGACATGACCCTCTTTACCCTACACCACAGAAGTAGATAAATGACAACAGCGCCACCACCAAAAATACCCAATGTATTTGATGCCAGCAGTACCTAACCTAACCTACCTGCCCACGCTATTCCTTATTAATTACCTTTATGGTATTTATAGATGTGCCCCTTACGTGCTTAGTATCTCTGAATTGTCTCCTGTCTTCCTATGAAAAAAACAAAACTATATGGTAGCCATCTGGACACTCGAAATTGGATACCGCCTGACTGGAATCCGGTATACTACACGCCTGGAATTCATTAAATGATCTACTTCCTTCATAGGGTCTATTAAATTGTTTCTTAGGTGCCGGTTATCTAGTAATTGTAGCTTTTATGTACCTGGAGATTAGAAATGGTCTCCTACGTCGTGGAATGTATAGAAATTCTACCTGTTTGGAATCTATAACTTTGTCTTTTTGACTTGGAATCAGTCATACTTATAACAAACTCTTTGTTGAGCATCAGAGATAGAGAGAAAGGGAAAGGGGGGAAGGAGGGATATTGGTTTTTTCCGCATTTGGGTAGGTTACGTGGGGTGAGGTCATTCCTTGGGTGAGGTGCCGAGGAAAACCCAAGGCGCGTAAAGTATATTATGTAGTAATAAAGGCGTAGAGTGAAGGGGAAAAGTAATTCCGGAATGAAAATATTAGCGTTCATGGCAGACTGAAAAGTGATAGAAACGCTGTAGAAATGACTGAATAAAAGACGAAAATCTAATTAATGGAGGAAAAAACTGGACAGGAAAAAGGTAAGAATATATTCTTAATCTAGCAACCGGAGTCAACAGGAAGGTAGTGTGAGGCGTAACACCGGAACGACTCTGTGGTGTAAAAAACATTGATAGGCACTGCGGCGTTCAATAACTGCCCGAGGATGACAAATCGTTAGTCCACCGCTTGAGTAATATCTTGAATGAGAGATTCTGATTGGCTGGTGTTTTAATAGACAAAGCATTCGAGATCGTAAATTAAGGTGAACTGATACAGAACG